AGAGCCGCTAGACGTCGAGATGGAGTTGATAGGAATGATGGCCGGCGGCAGGGCCCGAGGTAACGCAGACGATGAAACTCTAGCCTCCGTCCGTAGAAACGGCCTAGTGCCGTGTACGCCGTGGGAGTGGATGGTGAGGAATCGAGGCTGGAATGGGGAGCGTCGTAGGATATCGCCGCAGGACCGGTCGGATGCGGAGAAAGGATGCGGCGAGGACGGACAACGTCGACGTACAAGGTAGAGATGCACAGATAGACGAGGGCGGGGACGCAGATAGACGAGGCGGGGAACACGACCCGCAGCAAGGTCGAGCTCGCCGTGCACTGCGCACTGGTCAACGCTCCCTGCCGCCAATGCTATGAACTGATGATCACTTCCTCCGTCGTCCACGTCCCTGGAGCACAAATGAGGCGATCGTCCCTTTGAGCTGCCGTCGGGCCGTACGCAGGACGGTACACGTCGCGGCGTTCGTACAATAGGCCGAGTTGCGGGCGCGTCGAGCGCAGTCGGGGTTCGGCGACGTAAAACGCGCTCCTCCATCCTCGTTCGTTCAAGGACCTCCGCACCAGGACCCGACAAAGCAAGAACGCCGTCGAAGGCCGTTGTCCACCCGAACGCCATGGGGATGCAAGCGTCGGGGACACAAAGCCCGGTATATCTATCCGAAATATGACCTATTCCACCTGCCGCGGCGGCATCATTCCGCGACGGCGAGTGGCCCCGGTGTCTTCTCCGAAAATAAGTCCTGTTCCGCCAGTCGCGGCGGCGGCATCGTTCTGCGCCGACGATACCAGTGCCATGCGCTGCAGGCTCGGGATGCGAGGAGGGGTGCGGAGGCGGGGACGGAGGACGACGGGAGGGGAGGGGCGCACGTCCGCGACCCACTCCCAATCAGCGTGCAGGCATGCGGGAATGGTTTTAGTTAGTGGAGACGCGGGATCGTCGTCTGGCCGCGCGATACTCGCGCGAGGATACACCGAGGCGCGCGAGACGATATGTACAGCGGGGCGGACGGTGCAGGATGTCGCCCACGCGTGCGCAATGCCTGGTGCGCGACGATGTCGACGCCGTCGCAAGCCCCCGAAAGAGGCACGGGGGACGATGCACTGCGACACGGTGACGCGGCGGCCAAGGCACGAGCGCGGCGTGGTCGAGGTTCGATGCTCGAGCGCACGAAGCAGACGCGGGGCGGTGCTGCGCCGAGGGCGTGGTCTTCCCGTAGGTATAGCGCTCGCCGATGCAGCGGCACGCCATCAATGCTTGAGCGCCGCGAGTCCACGGCCCCGACGACGCTCCCGGAGCCGAAAGTGGCAAGTCCCGTCATCCGCAGCGCTGCGCCGTTGCCCAGTAATGACGCCGAGTCGGCCTCCGTATAAGGTGAGACGAGGACGATGCGGCAGCATCTAAGGGCCGGCTACGTGGTCGTCCTCGCCCGACCGCTGCGATGTACGCGCCCGGCGTTCGACGGACGCGCGAGGCGCTGCACTGGAGCGGGCGATGAGGCGGTAGAGGGGTCTGGACGGCGGGGGGCGAGTATGCGGGACGGATCGTGCGTCGGAGCGACGCCCGCGTCATCGAAACACGCAAGACAAGAGGCGGTCGTCCTCGCCCGATCGCCGCGATGTACGTGCCCGACGCTCGGAGGGCGCGCGAGGCGATGCACTGGGTGGTGGCGCGGTCGAGGACGGGGGCGAGCGTGCGGGAGGCATCGTGCTTCTGAAACACGCACGCGGGGCGGGCCGAGCCGGAGGGTGTCGGAATCCCGTGTCATCGACACACACAAGACAAGCGCGCACGAAGCGGAGATGCGGTCCTCGCCTGATCGAGGAGCACGAGCGCGCGAGGCGGACAGTGTTGCGGTCGAGGTGCTGCGTGCGCTCGGAGGCGAAGGGCGGGTGGTACGAGGGTCGACGCACGCGAACGGGTCCGGTCGGGGCTCGAGGAGATGCGTGTGCACGGGTCCGGTCGAGATGTAGAAGGACGGCGCGACAAGGAGGGGTGTCGGTGTGGGCTACGCAGACGGGCGCGCGGCCGCTGGAGGGGACGACGACGACGAAGATAAGACGATGCTGAACAAACGACGATGACGAACGGACGACGGGGAAGGCGCCCGACGCCCGGCGCCGTGGAGCAGAAGGCCGCAAGCAGGCGGCTGAACTCGGGAACGGAAGAAGCGCCGCCGCCGGGGTCTCGGTGTGTGTGCTCCGTGCTGCAGCGCGCTCCAAAGATGATGGTGAGAACCGATGGCGGATGAGATTGGATTGTATCGCGAGGGATCGGGAGGGATTACGATTGCGAGGACGACCGAGACGGCGTGGGCCCTGGTCTCCGCGGGCGGGCGTCGACGAATGCGAAGGCGACGAGGCGGGACGCGCGCGCGGGGGAAGGCGTGGATGCGACGACTCGAGTGGGCGTCGAGTGGGCTTGAGATTGGGTTTGGGACTGGGACCGGGAATAGGGTTGTGGTGTGCGTGTGTGTGTACGTGTGCGAGGGCGGCTACAGGCCAGAGAGACGTGGACGCTGGCGCCGCGCCGGGACGGGAACGATGGGCAGCTGAGCCGTCCGCGCCCGATGAAGGTGTGCCGCGGCGCGATGTCGATTAAGGCGCGCTCCCGCCTCCCCCTTCTCCTTCCTTCCACCTTCCACCTCCCCCCTCCCTCCCCGCTTCTTTCTCTCCCCCTCCTCCTCGTTTCTCCTCGCGGACGCCTACCGCCCCAAAGCCCTTAACAACTCCGCATGCCGCGCCGTCGCGTCCTTCCGCAGCGAGCCCATCGCCGAGTTGGTGATCAGGCCTGTTTGGACCTGCGGGGAGGGTCAGCGTGAGACTGGTAGAAAGGCGAAGACGACGGAGGGTGGGGACGAGGATGGGCGGAGCGGGAGGAACGTCAACGAGCGGGCGGGGAACGCAGAGCGAAGAACGGAGCGCGGAGGGGGCAGAGGCGGGTAGGGTTAGGGCGAGGAGCACCGCTGGCGCGGACGGACGTGTGGAAGGATGGGGGGCAGGTGCAGGTGCGGGTGCGGAACGGGTGAAGGGAAGAGGAAGAAGAGGCGGGGATGTGGAGACGCTGGGAATGGGAGGGTGGACGGACGGGCGATCAAACGGCGCGGACAGAGGAGGCGGATGGATAGCGGCGGGCGCGAAGGGGGGAAGAGACCGCAGGGGAGGAAGGGTGGGCGCAAGAAGGGGTGTAACGAAGGGAAGGCGGGGGTCGCGAAAAGAGGAGTAGGCGGGCGAGTCGGACGAAAGTAGCAGCACAAATCACTTACCCCGAACAGATCCACCGCCTGCGCCAGCCCGTCCGCGCACTCCTGCAGCTGCACCCGCGTCTCCGCGTGCCGCACGATGCGCGCGAACAGCCCGTGCGCCGCCTGCGTCCGGAGGAAGGCGTGCAGCTGGATGAGAGTTCTGCGGAGGGGTGTGCGTCAGCCGCGGTCCTCACATTCGCATATATATTATATCGCAAAAAGCAGCACGCACCGAGTAAACTGCTCGATCGCGCGCGCCATCATCGGCGCCATCATGCCCCGCGCGTCCCCGCACAGATTGATTATCGCCCGCACGATCTGGTGCACGCGCTCCAGCATCTGCAGGCATGCGGTTCTGTTCGTGCGCACGGACTGGGGAGAGAGGCGTCAGTGAGTGGACGACAGATGGAGGAAGAGGAGTGAGGAGCAGTGGAATGCCTGCGGCGCGGACAGGAACATGGCCAACGATGGCCTCGTGTGCCTGCGGCGCAATCGACCACCCAACGGCGGTCTCAGTGAAGGGAGCCCTCTGCCACCAAAAGAAAACCCACCGCACCTGAACCGTATCAAACACCAGCGCCGCACTAGTCGCCGCCACGCCCACATCCTGTAAATTCATGCTGTTCGCGATGCTCCCCAGCAGCGTCGAGGCGTCCAGTCCGCGCTGCACGACGTCGTCGACGTGCCGGCTGCGAGGGACGCGGCGGAGGAAGAAGGGGGTGGTGTCGGTGGAGAAGCCTTTCGTGCCGCCATTCGCTTCGTTAGAGGAAGAGGAGGTAGTGTTGGTGAAGCGCGCGATGTCGCGCGCGAGGGTGGCGACGTCGGGTTTCTCTTCTTCCTTTTCCTTTTCCTTTTCCTTTTCCTTTTCCTTCTCTTTTTCGGTGGAGTCCGAAGAAGAGGAGGTGTTACTGCGGAAGGGCAGCCCCCAGCGGGGCGCGGCGAAGACGGACTTGACGGAGACGTAGATGGGCGCGGCGGAGTGGTCGCGGCCCTCGCGGCGGGTGTGCCGGGTCGGGGGCATCGGGGTCGAGTGTTAACGAGTCAGTGGGGTTCGAGTGCGAATTGACGAGCGGACAAGTGGACTCGGAGTGCGGCGGTGCGGCGTATAAGCTATCCCCGGCTCTCTCTATTAGTATATATCAAGATGCGGATGGCCCTGGCAAGCATACATCAGCTTCGAAACGCCAGGATCCGTACGCATTGGAGGACGCACCGAGTCAGGCGGTGATACGCTCGAGAATTGTTCTCAGCCTCCCGATCAAGCTCTCTTTCGCCAGATATCGACGCTAGAGGATACCAGAGACAAGCACCACCAGAAGATGGGATTAAAAGAGCCCTAGCAAGATATCTAGAGCAAATCTGCAGAAGAATGTCAAGCCTGTATAGGATTCCGCCGCCAGAGCCTGGTGATGACGGGAAGAGGCAGTGCTCTCGGAGACCGTAGGCAAACCGGTGCAATGTTGATCCCATCATTTCAACCACCGATTCAACCACGTCCAATGCTTCGCGTCCGCAGGGAATCACCTTGGATTTCCGTTCATTCTACCTATGGCTGCCGCGTCAGTGTTTTAATCGTTCAAACATTGATCTCAGCGGACCTGTCAATTCCCTGAAACCAATCTCGATTTGTCGATTTTCGCTTTCCGTTTGGGCCTTGGAGCGTTTCAATCTGTAGACCCATCCGTTATGTCGTGGCGCACGTATAAAGAGAGCGCCGCCCTCCCGGATGAAAAAAAACCCTCGGAACTTTTATTCGGGACGCGGGGAGTCGAACCCCGGCCTGCTGCGGTTACATGTCATGAGCACCACTTATTCAATGCAGCGGTGTGCGATACACCACGTCCCACTTCCTATTTTAACGAGGTACGAGTTGATAATGTTATAGCATCTGTTTATAAGAGACTACTTCCTATCTTGGGTATTAACCTGAATATGTGACCTGCTTCTCTGCTAAAAAAAAGAGTCCCTATCGGCCCTATAGGCTATTTTATGTATCCGCGGCTGAAAGTCAACCCTCCTTGGCGTGCCTAATGTTCAAACCCACCTCGCAAAAGGCGCCCAAAAAATCTGAGTGTCTACGAGTGGGAAAAAACTATTTCTGACGATCTGGATGTGGGATGCCGCGGCGGGAGTCGAACCCGGCCCGCTGCATAAGAATTCTGCATCATGGATGCAATGCAGCGGTGCACCGTACACCACATCCTACTTCTTATCCTTGCTTTCAACCTGAAGACATGTCGTAGTTTCAATCGCAGTCGCTCCGCTGAACAGGTTCGAATTCGTCTGCAACCGGTTCTCGGTGAACTTGAAGCGCCTGGTCTGCGGTTGAGATTGATATTCGGTCAGTTTCTACCATCGTTGCTGTCCGGCGCACCATCGTTGTCGTCCGGCGCACCCATACAGCAATAAACCGACTACGAAAACACCACCGAACCTCCTGCCCCGATTCCGCCCGCAAGCCCACCGTCCGCCGCGTCCTCGAGTACGCCGGCCTGCTCCGGCGGACCACACCTGTCGCCTGCGCGCCGCCAATCACCGGCCCATCGAGCGCAGCACCGTTTGCCGCGCTGTCTGCCGCGCCGTCTGCCGCGCCGTCTGCTGCGCCATCTGCCGCCCCTGTCGAAGAGCCAGCAAAAGAAGCTCACTGTTGCTGCCGCCTTGGCGGCTCCTAAGTGCCTGAGTTTCCCGCAGCTCTTTGGCTCCGGACTGTACTGAACCCCTTCAGCTTATCCGGCACGATCGCGAACCCGCCCACGGCAGCCGTGAAATGCAACAGTGACAGCAAAGGTGGGACGACCACCATCCCGCTCGTGGACATCGAGGAAGCTGTGCACTGATTGGGCCTAGATTAGACGTGTTTCCGCATACGTTGAAACTCCGAGTTTGCTCCGAGTCATCCTTCTAGTTCCTTCACAATTTGGCGGTTTTTTTTTGACTCGTATCTTGCTTATCTCCTTGTCTAGTTTGTTTCTCACACTCATGTAACACACACACTCCCTCCATTGTGCTCGCTGCCGCTCTTGAAAACACCGCCACCGTGCCTTGCCATCATCATGCGGCGGTAGGTAGGTAGGTAGGTACGTACGTAGTATTACACGGCCGGTCCCGCTTAGGAACGCCGGGGCCCAGGGATTATCGAAATTTACAGGCACTATGTAAATTGTGGTCCCTGGACTTCTCCATATCCCCGTAGCCGAGCTCACGGACACAATCTCACGACTCGCCGCGGTAGAACTAAAGGAAACATGGAAAAGTGGTTAATGGAAAATGAGAACCTCAAAACAAACTCAAAACTGGAACAGCTCAGATCTTTCAAGTTGGAGAACATCATACACACATTTATACCCAGTGCTCTTTTAGGCTGGCCTTCAAACCTCTGTATTGGTCAGTTGCACCATAAGATTTGCAGGTGTTGGGGTATAGTGGAATATTTGTCCAGTTAAAAGACTCAAGCTGTCCAGATGTAAGAAGAGCTTGTCATTTGAGTCAAATTGACTCCTTCAACACCATTCCCTAATGCCCACCGATGCTGTCGTTTTCCCTTGACATCCTGGTAAAGGTAATGTCTGTTGAAAGTAGCATGGGGCAGTGGAATAGGAGTCTTGAAGCAGCTGAGCTGTTTCAGGAGAGTGAAGAGGTCTCGAACCCGAAGAGGAATTATCCCAATTTCCGGGGTGGCGGATGATTCATGGATTGAGCATGGGGATTCGATTGCGGCAAGTATATGGAACATGAAATGGGTATGTTGCTGGTCGTGCGTTCCATACATTACATTTCATATAACTATCCACCTATCATGTCTCTGATCACCAATGTTCTCCAGGATAACAAGCCGCCTGTGCTGGCACATTTGGAGTCAATTATTGGAGAATTTAGCAATGTTGTCTCTCTTCTGCATTAATCCCGACCTAGCGGCAGCACAACTCTTCCAAAGACCACAAAATTCAGGATTAAGTGAAGAGCATCCGGTCCAGCACTGCTACCGTCAGACGTGAACAGAAGCTAGAAAAATGTTGTCCATGTCAGGCATCATTTTTAGGAGGCCGGATCTCCTGTGAGGAGTCCGATGAGGACTTATTCCTCGGATTCCATGTTTCCATGTCGCACATACTATGACATTCGTGTCTAATATACATAGCATTGCAAAAATGGTGCTATGACATGGCAAAATGACTAATACAAGATATTACGGCACCGTCCGACCGAGCTCATCGAGGCCAGCGACCACGACACGACCAAGGACTTTTGGGCTTGGTCTGGGACGGTATGCACGAAGGGGGTCCCCAGGAAGCCTCCGGGAGTTCGATGGAGCCTAGGCACCACAAATGAGCTGGATGCGCGCCCTCTAATGTGGATGTGATTTTTTTTTTCTCTCTCTCTTGCCCCGATCCCATTCCATCTCTGCAAGGTACTGCCGTCGTTCTCGAGGCAACTCCCATGCTTCCTCCGCCACTCATAGGCTCGCGGGGGGAAGCGCATTCGGAATCGGGCTTTTGCCTTTTCAGTAGATGATGGTGGAAGGAAGGGGAGTGAATTCTCAATTCCCAAAGAATTCCATCTCGCAGCCTGATGACGACATTCCCTGTTCTCTGATGTTCTGCTCCTCTGTTGTATCCCTCGTATATTTTGGCCACCTGAAAAGCTGGAGAATTCCATTGGCAGCTTTGCCGCCATCACCAAATCTGGAAAAAAGTTGTCTGCCATTATAATTGGTTGCGATCTCCACAATCCCCACAATCCTCGCAATTGTTGTAGACCCGCAGATAACCGGATATATGGGTGTGTGACACACACGATACACACAATCATTTTGGGGATTGCGAGCACATATAAGGGCTTTAATGCCCTTAACTGCCCTTGCGATGACCGGTGCCATATTTGTGCATGGTAGCTCAAAAGGGTCACCTTTCAACGCCTGGACACATAAAGACATGGATGAAAATAATATAATATATGCCACTGGTATCCTGCAGACACGTACATCTAAGTGCCCATGGCACTGACAAGAAAGAAAGAAAAACAAGGGATGGGGAAAAGGAATTCTTGCAAGGCGAAAGCTATTACCTTGATTGGATGCAAAGCGGGTTTGAGAGCTTGATGGGAGCACGGGAAGAGGTGGAGCAATACAAAGATACAGTCTTGATGAGTTCCTCCAGGAAGACAGGTCTGGCTTTGACGACGAGTTTTGAGCCTTGGTGTTAACGACGGACTTTGAACCTTGATGTTGACGAATCTTGAGTCTTGAGAGGGCCAAAGGACATGTGGTTACACGGCTTGCGGGAGCGAAGCACTTGAGGCTGAGCACGCAGACGGCAGAGCACAACGAAGCGAAGGCGGTCAAATCTTGGTGCAATTGATTGCGTTGAAGGTCAGACAGCTGATGACATGAAGCTGGAGAGTTTTGAGCCAGACATAGGCTGAAGAAGAAGGGGAGGGCAAGGGGAGGGAGAGTCTGCGCACGCAGGAGGAAGGGGGAAAGAAGGGAGGCTCAAGCGAGCAGCAAGCGAGCCGCCATCAATTCGAACCGTCCAGGCCATCAATCACGAAATCGGCGCACGGACCATCGGAGTTTGAAAGCCTTTGTCACCGCCGTGGCCAAGCAAAGTCCCGGCGTTTGCCTGCAGTGGCGTACCATTACAACTCAACCCGGAGATAGCTAAATGAGTGATAGCTAAATGAGTTTCCGGGCCTAGCAGGGCTCCGGAAGGACAGAATGGAGGGACCCCCCCAGGCCCCGGGTCGAGCGTTGGTCGAGTGCTAGCAATAAGTACTTACTATGTACTGATAGTAAAGCAGCAGTGATTTCAGATTGATGTGATCCAGCTTGCAGTGGGACGGCGGCAATGTACTCAGCAAGCTTCGATCATGTTTTTTATTGTTTTCATAATGTGGCGTGTACCAAGTACACAAGACCTCGCAAGGCCTTGTGATTTATGGTAAGAATTGAGAGTGAATCGTCTCCTCTTGTCTTCGGCTTGCAATAATTGTGTAGTGATTGCGAGCGGTTACGACCGGTTGTGATTGCGCATCAGGATCGTGGAAAAATCACGATCCTCGCCTGGCCTTACCTGTTTTTGACCGTTTTGGTGATGGCACTCACCAATATCCACCCCAAAATACATACCGATCCCAGGACTTCGAAGGCTGATGCCCGCCACCACTGTCGCAGGTGACCTCCGCACACCGATTGTGAATCTAACAGTTCCAGTGTAGTTCATAGCCTCCGCCGGTGATCGCAACTTGTTCCATATCCTAGGCATCATCCCGCGCTGCACAGAGATTTAATTGCTAATGAATCGTCCCAGCATTGGATCAGGGATTTCTCAAAACCTCGGCAGGCTGCATTCGACCACCCTACTAATCCACAGCTTTGACGTACGAACCAGGGGTATCATTCCAGGATGGTTTCACACCTCCCACTAATGACGGCAAAACATCATATCCCAGGGTCGGGTGGGACAAGGATAGATTTACTCCAATTTTTGAGGCGAGCGGACTGAATGAAATGGCTATGGCGCGGAAGACCGCCCTAGGTTCGCATGCCGGTAAACAGTGTGTTGCCACTGTCGCTTCCCTCTGAAATTTCCATGTCCTGGTGACGTACGCGCTAATGGGCGTCTGTTAAATTTGGCTGTCGTGGGTTGGGATCTGAATGCAGCCTGTGCATGTCATTCTCCTCAGACAGGCTGTACACACCCCTTCTCAATGCCCCTCACTCACCGCGCAGAGAGCCTCCACAGTTGGTGGTCGGATAGTAACCCACCAGGCCCCACCATTCCTCTCCACACGCTCGCCAAGCCTCTTTCCGCATTCCTGCACCGTCGGCAGGTGTCGGCAATTATTTCC